AAAAAACTATGTAGATAAGAAGACTATCGAACCAATTAGAATATTTTAGAAGTTAAACTCAATTTATAAAGCTTGCATTCCAAGAAATAAAAATGTTTTTTTTTTCCTGATGAACATTGAACATTTAGATATTTATTTACCTAAATATCTAGGTAACTATGATTAATGACTATTGTATGTTCTAATTTATTTCAAGTTAAAGCGTTAAAATGTTCCAAGGTGTAAATATACAGGTAAAATATTGCGGAGGCAAATTGCTTTTGATGATATCGGAAAGCATCTAATGCACAAACTAAAGGGCACCTCAGTCACGATTCATTTCGCATAAATTTATAGGGAATCTATTTCGATTCCATATCACGGATTCATAAATATAAAAAATTCAATAAATCCGAATGGTGTAAAAAACCACTAATTTCATACTGCTCTTCCTATAGAAAACGTGGAATTATTGAAATTTCGAGGCATACAAAATTTAATTGATTATGATTTTAACTATTATGCGAAGCAGTAAAATATGTTAAATACATGTAGGAGATAATATTTTTGTTAAGAAAACTCCAATTTTCTAAATACAATGCAAATTACCAATTTAACTTACATTTATGAAAACAAATAATAACTACATTTATTTTCATTTGTTGTAATAAATAAATAAATGATAAAAACTTGCAGTTTGAAAGGAATAAACTTTCTTCATTCAAAATTAGTTATCATCCAATGAAACAAAATATAAATTCTATTTCATATAAATGTTAGAAGTAGAAAGAAAAATTAGTTTTAGCTATCTTGCACAGATGGAAGCACTGCATTTAAGATGAAACAAGACTAACAATCTCGAATTTCATTTATAAGTTTTGTGTCTCAAATATTTCGAATTCCTTTTCCTTATAATTCTTATGAGTTACTAGATTTTCGCAGTTTTTTTTTACTTTAAGAGGATAAAATTTAGTTATTTACTGTCTTATATATGTCGATTACTCTATTGAAGTTTAAGATAATAAAATACTTGTTAAAAAATACTACATCATTTTTATAGATGGCGACACCAGAAATAATAAAGAGTTTCCGGTTAATAATTTTTATTAATAAAATTATATTAATATAAATAAAAATATGAATTTAACTAATTTTTTTTAATGTCAATTTATCCAGAAATAATTCAATTATTTATTTTTTACAGGAAATGTTGAAATACTTCATAAAATAAAATTCTACGATAAATTTATATAAACTGTTACTAAATAATTTCACTAGATGGCGGTACCATGCAAATTAATGAATTTTCTAGGCAAATATTTTTTTATGGTAATTGAACAAGTGAATGTGAACTAAGGAGTCCTAGAAACTAAAACCACTGAATTAAATAAGAAAATAAAATTTTAATAGAGCGATTTCACAACAAAAGTTATCAGCGAACCTCTTCCTATTACATTCTCAGAAGAAAATAATGGTGAACTGCTACCAACAAAAAATACATTATATAAATCAAATCATTTTTACTCATTTTTGTCAGAATTCATTAAGTATCGCGTCGTGATTATACTAATAAGAGGGAAACTTATTTTTCTACTTTACTCATATCATTATAAATAAACAAATTAAACATGTAAAAATATTGAAAACTTAAAATAAATCATTGATCGCTGATTATTGATAAGATAAATTTTTTAATACTTATCACTATTGATAAACAGTATATTTAATAAACTTGAATAACTTATAATCAATGATGAATCATAAAAATGCAATATTTGAATAATTTCTCATCGAATCTTCAAGTACACTAATCAGTTAATTAAATGGTATCTTTGAAGAGTACCTTAATTACTGTTGTTTATTGATCAATTAACGTTACCTGTTAATAAAGCTATTAAATAAAGCACACAAAGGAATTTTCATGTGATTACACTTTCCTTTTGAAAAATTAGGATTCTTGATCCTCAATACATGGGGTAGGTTGTTGATCTAATAAAAATTATTATTGTTATATATGGCAAAATCCGAACTTAATCCATTACATCTGGCCACTTATCATTTAACAGCAATTTTTGACATTTAGTCCTAGGTAGTGCAGTCAGAAAAATGTCCAAAAATTTAACTGCGTTTTAATTTTGCATATTTCTGTTCTTTTACCACATATCTGAATTTAAATTTTAAAAAAAATAACAGATTCAACTGATTCTATTTATGATAAAAGTTTGCCCAAATATATTTCTATGAAGAAAAAAAAAACATTTTAATTATAATTATTTGACCAAAATTTCGGATTGTACAGCGTATTAAAAAAATTTTTTTAAATGTCATGAAATAAAAGATAAATATAAGAGTGCATAATTTGTCAAATGCTTGCCGTTTTTTTTTTTTTTTTTTTTTTTTTTTTTTTTTTTTTTTTTTTTTNTTTTTTTTTTTTTTTTTTGTATTATTGCGTATAATTATTGTGTACACTATTGCACGCATTTAATAGAAATATTTTTCACTCGGTTATTAATCATCCAATATATCGTAAGATTTACCGTAGTCATTACAAATCAAAATCTAACTTTGATTAAAAGTGCATCCGACAAAATTGAAACATTTAAAAAGGGTTAACAAACTTTAATAAAACTTAACAATAATCAACACAAACTAAAATATCATGATGTACTTACAGAAAATCCAACCATTCATTCGACATAGTTTCAGGAGTTGATAGCGAAATTTATTTGATTCAAAACGAACAGGAATCCAAGTCGAGAAACAGCAGGGTGTTTACTTTCGTTAGCAGCCATAGCCAGAATTATAAACATTACATTTAATTCAATATACTGAATCCCCTACGCAGGTGTGCAAGAGGGTCATGAGTTCATGAATCTTACGACCACCGATTTCTGGAATTTCTCACACCAGTTCGCCATGATTTCCAGAATATCTACTAGTAGCAATATCACTCGGGCCACTATAGAACCAAGATTTACGAAACTTGGCTTTTTACTGGCTAAAGCAATCGTTATCAACCAATATCACATCTAGATGGGCTCAATGTTGCATGAACCCGATTTATTGTAGCCAATACTCCACCCATATAGAGCCTTAATGTTCGATTCAGTCAGCATTTTTTCATCATTATCCAGCTTAGATAGAAACCTATATTGTTCGAGTCTAACTAGGTTTATCCCTTGCATGGATTAAAATAATAATATCTCTAGGATTGCGAGTTCCTTTTCCAATCGTTGTCAGAGTGTGCGTTCACCTATGATCTCTGCAACCGTTACTTTACAACAATTGAATCATGGTTTTGAAAATAAATTGTTATGATATGGTAGGTTTCTTTAATTCTAGCTTGCATCCTGCCTTTACTGGAATTAAATAGTTCTTGTGATAAAATCTTTTTTCTGCAAGAGTTGTTGAGGTAACCATGGTTTATACGATAATTTTAGTAGTTCTGTCTTCATATTTTGAATCCCAAACAAAATATCCTCCACATATTTAGATTAATGCAATTCCTTGTCTCAAGACTTTCATCCGATTTTGTTGAATTCAAAACAGTTAAGAAAGAATGTTAAAAATCCGTTCCTCTAACAACTTTAGCAACAGGTCGCCGTTTATAGCTTTAAGTAGCTAATTAAATCATTAAACCAGGCTAAGTGGTATGGCCCTTTGGCTAAATGCTCAGTAGCGTGGAGATAGCAGGTTCGAATCCTGCCGTAACTTTGAATGTTTTTTTCTTCTTTTTTTTGCTATGTGTACTTCAACTTAACAAGGGCTTGAAAGCTATTTTTTACATTGAGCACATTAGCCTGCATATGTTTGCGTAACATTAAATAAAATAAATTGATTAAATCTTAAAATCATAAGATCCGTCCACCAATAGTTTATTAAACGAATTATATCTTTGTGTGCTTTTATAAAACAGGGTGTCAAAAATATACATAAAGAGCGATAATTACAAAACATCTGAACCATATAAGAAATAAAAATGTGTGCGTTTATTTTATTTCATTCACTATCAGCCTTCATATGACAATAGCTAAATACTAAAATTACTCTTTTTTCTTGGATTTGCTAAAGCACAAATTACAATTTTTAAAGCAAAACTAGAACCATTTATAAAGTAATAACTTTATTTTCAATATTAAAATCAAAAAAAAATTACATTACATGTACAATACAAAATACAAAACTGAAAACAGAAAAAAATACAAAGTTCATTCGTATCCTTTTAAAAAATGTATATGAGTTCACACATTTCTATTTAACAAGAATGACAAATACAAAAATGATGATTGTCTAAACATAGAAACAATTTCTTGAAGAAATTTTTTTTTTTTTAATTTTTATATCCTTAAAACAGAATAATAGTTTTGTGTAGACCTTAAAAGACAAAATAAGAATACTTTATAAAAACCATTACTTACAATTACTGAAATCAAATACGGAACTTTTAGTACATTAATAATCTCCATGCTTATATTTACACAGTATAAAACATAAACATTATCTTTAAAATATAACATTTAAGTCTCAGGAAAAAGAAACAATTACAAAATATAGCGCTTTTGTCGGTGGAGATAAACAAGTTTATATCTTAAAAATTAAATAATAGATTCCTCTGACAAGGTAAATTTATTATGAACTAAATTTCTTGCTAACAATATATTTAAAAAAAAGATATTAGGAAAAAAAAGCATTGCTTAAAAAGAAATTTCACCTTGCAATTTACATTTCAGGGGACATTTTATTAAATTCTATTCGTTTCTAGGCAACTAAAATTCCTATATTTTTACCTTCATGGATTTCCAATTCTCCATGGTTGCCAAGTGAGAATCTCTTTTGAGTAGATATTTCCTCTAAATACCTTTATGGGTTCCCTCATAAATGGACTTGTGAAATTTTGCTAATTTTCTGAGTTAAACTGTAATTAAGTTTCTTGACTTAGTTACAATGAAGAAAGAGCCCAAATGAGGATTGCTTGAAGTTAAGCATTATATCAGGGTAATTTTTTGGAACATCTATCACAATTATTTTTCGGAGAACAATGAAAGAGAAGAAAACCCAAATGAGGATTGTTTGAAGTTAAGCATTACATTGGGGTAACTTTTTTTTATTTATTGGAGAACTATGAAAGAGAAGGAAGCCCAAATGTGGAATGTTTGAAGTTAAGCATTATTTACATTGGGGTAATTTGTTGGAATGTTTATTAATATTACGAGTTATTTAATGATGGTTTTAAGCATTGGACAAAAACTGACACCAGTAACTAGAAAATAGTTTCCATCAAAGGCATAAAACAGTTAATTCAACTGAATTCCGTAATCACTGCTCTTAAAACCATTATCAAACAAATAAACACACAAAAACATAATCAAAATATGATGAGTCCCTATTGAAGACAAAAAATCAAAAACCTTTTTGGTTGGCAAAGAAGTGAAAGGCAGCTAAGAGAAACACTTTTAAAACACTCAAACTGTTTTTGACATTTTTAAACCAGCTTCCTTAAAAGTTAATAGCTAGGATTTGATAACATTTTTATATTTTTCTCACTTAAATTTGCAAACTTTAATGAGTGTCTTTACTTCCTTTTTTTTTTTTTTTTTTTTGGATCAGGATTCAAAAAATACATTAACAATTATTAATTTAAATATTAGAAAACAAGCTTTTAAATGCGAGATTAATAGTTTTTAGAAGTTTAGAAGGAATAATGAAGTACAATGATTAAAAAACAAGATGATGTTTAATTGTAAAAATCACAAATAAATAATTTAATTTTATAAAAAAATTTAGTAACAGCTACGTTCAATTCAAACATTTACATAAAAAGATACTTAGCTAATGACAACAATAAACAAAAAACAAAAACTGTGTCAAAAATACAACATTGCAAACAAATAGTGCATTCTTGGACTAGATACAAAAGAAAATAAAGAACTAAAACTTGATCAATAAGGAACTTCTTTATCTTAAAATAAGAACTTTCAACTTACAATAAAACGTTACAAAAAATTTACCAGAAATTTAAAATTTTGAATATAAAATGTTCTTTGACATTTTTTTCTTTTTAAAAAACTCCTGCAAGTACTAAGATTGTTGTGTACGGTACACAAAATAAAATAACGAAACACCTTAATAACTTTTGATTTAGTAATAGGATCGTCATTTACTAAGATTTAATCTTAATCAATTAAGGGGCGAATTTTAAATAAGCTATTTCTCATGTGCAGACAATATTTTAGGTTACTGCTTAATAATTCTATTTAATTATAACTGTTTTATAATTCTATTTTAATTATAACTGTTTTATAATTCTATTTAATTATAACTGTTCTTCTATTTAATAACTGTCTTATAATTCTATTTAATAATTCTATTTTAGGTTACTGTTTAATATTCTACTAAGTTCCTCCGAATAAAATCCAAAGTACTTGAATTTTTGAGCTTGAAATGATTTGATCTGATTACTGGTACAAAAGTTATCAAGCGTGTCGTTTTTTAACTTGAACATTATACGTTTAGATAATGGATAGATAATATTTTTGAAAAAATGACCCTTCAGTTCAAATATTGTTATTATAAACAATTCTAGCAGCAAAAATCATACTTTAAGTCAGGCAATATTAAAATAGAAAGAAATCATATTTTTATACTAAAAACAAATAAATAATTTAAAAACAAACAAGCTGCCCTAAAACAGTAGTTAAAAAAATGCATCCTTCTTAGAAGGAAATTTAAGTACAGCTATGTAAGACTGCCCCAAAAATATGTGCTGTACATGAATTAATTTTCTAAATACATTTATAAATTAAGGAATCATTGAAAATCATCACAGCAAAGGAAGTTAAGAATATCGATGCATAAGCATTTGGATAAAAATTGTAAATTGGTAATTGTCTTAAATTAAAAAGTGGTCGAAGTACTAATTTAGAATGACTTGTAGAAATTTCACTTATTACTAGAGAAAAACAGGATTAAGGGAAAATATGAATTGCTCAATTTTAGTAACATTTTATTTACATGTTAGACAATAAATACTTTCAATTTTACCTATTTGCTTTTTATGCACCATTTACAATACTGACATCTATAAACACAACTTTATCTGTTAAAAAAATAATATCATTGCAGAGATGTCTACTTGCACGAAGATTGTTCTGAAATGAATTGTGAAACATTAGTTGTATTATGAATTAGTTTTTTTTTTCCATGCGCAATCATATAAGTATTTATCTCGTATTGTCAAAAATTTTTTTCAATAAAATTTTTTTTTTAAACATTAAACGAAATTGTCAAACCGAACTTAACTGCTGTTTTGAAAACTTAACTCCATAGTTAGAAATCGTAGAAAAAGAACAATCAGTATAAGTTGCCATCTCTGTAAATTGATAACTATTCTGTATGCTTAAAAAATATCTAACCTGGTTGTCAGCTTTTTCATTTCAACAACAACAACAATCAAATCTTACTAATAAGTTTTTAAATTATCACATTATTCTTTTCACAAAACACGGTTTCTCAAGACAATACAATATACGAAAAAACAATAATTATTGAGATAAAAACTACTTTAAAAATCAACTCTGACATGTAATAAGGCAACTTTTTGCATCCAGGTGCAAAAATTACTACACTTTTAGACATGATTCATGCTCGGCAGTAAATGAATCTCATGCCATGCTACGAAATGCATGTTGGAGCAAAATATTTTACTTCAAAGTAAAATGCAGAGAATACAACTGTGAATTTCATTTTTGGAAGACTCTTTATGGCAGACAATTTTTCAATCATTTCGTTGTAAAAGATGACGAAAATATTTAGTTTTTATCACACCAATTTTGATTCATAGATTGATATCAAAAACATGAGAACTATACCAGCCAAAATTCCCAAGTTTTTGACAAGTAACATTTTTATCTTTGATCCACCATGGTGCTCACGCAAGTCTGGAAGCTAAAAGATGAAGAAAAAAATTGTTTATAATATGTAAAAATTTGAAAAGAATTTATTTTGTACATTTTAAAAACAAATACATTTTCTATGTTTAAAAAAGGCGAATGAACAAATGAATGCATTGATTAAACATTTAAAAAGAACACTTATTCATCTTCAGCAATGGATGATGAATGTATCAAATTTGTTTGTATGATCAAAATTACAGTACTCACAAATAATTCACGTGTACTATCTGCAAAATTGATTTCCATTTTCCAATTCAAGTTCATTTTTATGCCAAGATAATCTCAAAGATTTTATTTTATATTATTTTATAGCCGACCTAATTCTTTGGGTTTACGACTACTAATATAACTAGCTTAACCCAGCCCCCGTAAGGGGTCATCCGGGGACACTCCCAAAGTTCGAAGTGCGCGCAACAGTTCAATCACATAAGCCAACTTATTCAAAATTTTCAAATTAGAGTTTAACAAATAGGTAGAATATTAAATATGAAATCCAGAAAACAGTGCTACTTAGAAATAAACTAAATGCAAACAAACATTACAAAGAAAATAAATAGTAACAATCAGAAGAGATATTGATGTCGCATCTTCAGTAGGGGTGCAAAGTTAATAAAAGGAAACAATTTCACAAGGAAAATATAGAATATTTGTAACCCAGAATATAATTACAGCAGGCACAACAGTACTAAAAGTATGAAATTCCAGGATTTTTTTTTAAAACAAAAATGACCACACACACACACACACACACATATATATATATATATATCAACTCTAGGAACACAATACTTAAAATTTTCAAAACTCTCTATTCCCTGAGCCATTACAGCTCTTATCTCAAAGATTATTATCATCCCAAGATTATCTCGCTTTTTAACTAAGAAACCTACATATTTTACCGATAGTGAAGTCAGACAGCTAAAACCAACCATGAGGCCAGGATAACTCACATTTCGTGGGTGAGTTTTGAAATCTGGACACAGCTTAAAGGCATATTTACGAAAGTGAGTACAGCAAAAAATGATCATTTCAGTTTTAAACCAAATTTAACAACTAAACGAGAAGTTGCGTGATTACTTGAACACTAAAAATAATCATTAGGTGGGAGATTCTGAGTCAGGGTGGCTGAAACTTTTCAGACTGTGTCTTCGTATTCAGAACTCTTAACGATAAAGTGAGTTTTAAAACTCTAAACTTCTTACTGTCTTTATTATAAACTTATAGTGCCCATAGCAACTACGTAAAAGCAAAACCTTTAAAGTTAACACTTTTAAAGTCTGTTAAAAAAAAAAGTCAATTTAATAAAATGTACCAAGTGAATTACTAAAATGGATGATATCACATTACGAATTTATTTGAATTCATTAGTTTATTCTTTAAAAAAAGAATAATATTCATAAGAGAAGTTTGAAAAATTGAAAAAGATAAACTCAATTTTCGTAGACACGCATTTTGAGTTTTGTCCATTTTCGTAAAGGGGCTGTTTAAAGATTATATTAGCACCAAACAAGAGGAAGGGTTTAATATTTAAACGGCCTTAAACACGAATTTAGTGCTGTGTCCATTTTCGTTAACTAGTATTTCGAACTGTATACAGATTTAAAAAGTAACTGACGGTTTGCTCCTGACAGTTGGTTCAAGTAAAAATTTTGGCTATAGCCGGAGAATGAAAAACTAGTTTAGCGGATTAGTAAAGTTTTGACTTTTGACTGCTTTACTTAACGTAAAACAATCAAAAATCAATTTTATTTTCTTCAAGAACCTATTAATTTGTATCAATCTGGCATGAAAATTTTGCACATTAGATGACAAAAAGTTAATGATAACGTGTGCAATTACGCTATTGATTTAAAAGAAAAACTTGTATAAATTTATTTACTTATCTATTTTTTCATATTATTTAATATAAAAAAAATCCCGTCTCTTAAATAATTTAATATAGAGTAATAGCCACACATGGATGAACTAAACTATTCTCACACTGACGGACTAAGTTTAATCGCTGGACAAAGTTCAAAGTTCAATTTGACGGACAAAGTTCAATCACCGCTCAGAGATGATTCCACTTCCATGTAGTTTGAATGCAAGTGAATTTGATAACATTAAAGAAGTCCTCCACAAAAGCATTATTGCTTCAATACTTTGTGTCTTGTCTCATGAGCTAGATTCAAAACTACAAGTATGAATGCAAGTGAATTTGATAACATTAAAGAAGTCCTCCACAAAAGCAATATTGCTTCAATTCAATACTCGGTATCTTGTCTCGTGAGCTAGATTCAAAACTATAAGGATACTGAAGTGAATGTTACTAATCCATTGGTATTTTAAAAGAGAGAAGTGATAAAGTGGAAAAAGATAAGTAAAACAATTAAAAAACAAAACGTGAGACTTCCTTCAAATATTTTTTTTTATCTATTGCAATAGATAAATTTTAATATGAAAATACATAAAAAAATATTTACGTCGATTGTATAATTAACTGATAGTTTTAAAAATAAGATTGAATTAAATTATGCCTTACCATTTCACCAAGAGCAACGTATAAAAATGTGCCTGCTGTTACTACCATAACCCATTTCCGGGCATCTTCATTATCGCCAATTAAAATGCCAATGTAAAGTCCAGCGAAGCAGGTTAAACTACTCAAGAAGTTGATCCATAAAGCTTTTGAAAACGATAAACCAGTTGATAACAGAACAACGAAGTCACCTGTAATAAAAATTAGTAATTTTGAAGATATGTTCAAAATCTTCTTCGACAGTAGTTTTTAATATACGCTTAAAATACTGCATAGAATTGTACATTTATACACTGTAAAAAATCCCGGGTCAAATTACAATAACAAGAACTACCGAAGGTGGCTGTACTTTTTACCTTAAATTTAATTTTTTCCTGTCACACTTTCACATACTACGGCTACGGAACAAAAATAAATCTGACTTATCGTCATTTTNCTGTAAAAATTACAGTATAATATTTTACGGTAAAAATGGATTTTTCGGATGATGCACCCAAAGTGCCTACTTTTTACCGTAATTTTTTCATTGTACTATGTTTAAATTTATTGTCTGTCAGTATAAATCAATTTAATTAGACTTGCTTGGACAGTTAGACCTTCTTTTTCCAGCTAAACAATTATAATACCTTTGACTTAATTTGAAATTAGACTAAAACATTTAAATCAATGTCTCTTAGTTTATCAGATTTACAATGTGTAAAGATTTTTAAAAAAAACAGGAAGAGAAAACGGAGCTTTTATATTACCTAATAACTATTAGTCGCATATTTTCCCGAGTTAACATTCAGTCTAATGGTTTAAGGGGTATCTTAACAAAACCATTTAATTCGTACAGATGATATTATACAGCGATTCTTTCAAAGCGTGGATGGTTGTAGGCTAGTTATTGGCATAAAACTTACCTTAAAAATTATAACTAAAGATAATATTTAAAAAAACGCATTGTTGTACTGTCTAGCAATCCATTCTTAGTGAACTTCAAATGATCCACACTGTCTATTTTTTCGCAACAATTGCGTGCATATTGGGATACTCTTTATTTTAGAGGATATAAGTTTTAATACTTCTTGAACTTTTTAAGAACCCTACCTTGACTGAATGTTGCGTAACTATAATGTAAAAAGGAAAAAAAAAAATGTTCAGAAATAGGACAAGAAATAAAGACATTAAAATTGAAATTTCATTTACGCTTAAAAAATAATTCATGTAAATTCTTTAATCTCATCAATTCTAATATAGACAGGAAAACAAATTTATATTTTTCAAATTTCAGTGAAACCTAAAACTTTTCATTAAAGCCTCATAAAACCAAAGCTTAAACCAAAATAAAATTTCCCTTTAAAATGTCATGAATCTAACAATGCCATAAATCCAGTCTAATTATAAAATACAGTAAAAGAAAAACAAAAGAAATCAGCAAAATATAAACTTAAAATGAACATCATTAAAAAGTTGAAAACACGTGGCTTCATTATTTTAAGGTTTTGATCAAAAATTTTCCTTATTTATAACTGCGCTGAAAAACGTGGCCAGCATTTATAATGGTTTGAAATGTGAGTCACGTTTTAAATTAATTTGACTAGGAAATTTGATATTTTAATAAGCATTTCAAACAAACTGATTAAATACAGAAACTGACTCCTAATGAACTCTGGATATGTTGAAAAACTAAGCGACTTACTTTCTTAATAAACTTTCTTTTTTTTTTATTTGCAGTTGAAACAACTTTCAAAAATAGTTCCAGGGATATCAAAGAGAAAAATAACAATAAAAAAGAAATGGGAAAAAAATACTACCAAGAACAATAATAAAATAAAAAGAGTAATTTTCCGAAACTCAACTCTTTGAAAATTGCAAATATTTTTTAAAAATTTTACGGTTATCAGGATTCTTCGGATTTTTTGTAAAAGGTCTTGTTTCTGTGAAATTGAGAAAAAGTAAACTCATCTTGCGAATTAGTGAAAATAAGAAAAATAGGAGACCTGAAAATTTAAATTTTCTGTTAATATCCAGTGGCCGACAGACTTTTAAGACTTATAAACTCTCCCGAGGGGTGCAGAATTCATTTCGACCAGCCATCACTGAGATTCGAACCCGGGTTACCTCATTAAGAGGTGAACGCTCTATCCCCTGAGCCAACACGGCTCAACGTTTAAATCAATCTTATAAATATTATTTAAATCTTACCAAACTCATGGGGAAGTTCGTGAAATAGTACAGCTATTGCAGTGGAAAGCCCACCTCTAACTCCAGTAGAAAATGCAGCTCCAATGGCTAAACCATCACCAAAGTTGTGTATAGAGTCCCCTATAGTCACTACTATAGCAAAGGATGTTAAACCTAGTGAAAATAAAAACTACAGTCATTTGCTTGAAACGCCTATACCACTAACAATACATAACAATAATGCATTAAAAAGAATAATAATTTATGCATAATAATTCATAACGAAACCTCTTATTGCATTATTAAATAACTATTGTATTATAAATTAACTATCTTATTAACTATCTTATATTATATTATAAATAAACTATCTTATTAACTATCTTATATTGTACGTATGTATCAATAAAACCGATGATATTTCTTTTCTCGCGCTGGCAACAGTTTTCATTTTTAATTGATTGGATTCGGCGCGCAAGAGCACGTAGTGAGCATCATATGGCTAATCCATGTTATATAAAACGCTAATACGTTTTAATTGATAGGCTTCGGTGCGCAAGAGCACGTAGTGAGCATCATATGTCTAATCGAGTGAATTCTCACTGAATTATGAAAAAAATTCTCACAAAATGATCTTAATCGAAGCCGATGCTTTACATTCGGTGCTCAGTATTATTTCATATTGTCTTACAACTCATGGTTTTAGCCCTCTGGTGGGAAAGACTTTAAAACAAAACTTACAACAGTTACTTTTCTCAACAACTGAAATTTAGAATAGTGTGATTAAGAAAAATATGTGAACTGTTTGCAATTAATATTGAAATGCACAGGTTTAGAATTTTCTACAGTGAAAAGTTTTCGGAACTTCAGTGTTCAAAAAAGTATACAAAAGCTAGACGTTAAGAACGCATCCAATGAGCGAGCAAAGCGAGCATCGGATTGCGAAGCAATCCGAAATGAACTGCGAAAGCAGTTCCGGGGGTTGGCGAGCGCCAGCGAGCAGGGGGCGAAGCCTTCTAGTTGTATTTTAATTATTTTATATTCGATGCGTCAGATAAATTCAATGCGTATAAAAAGTATAAATTTGGTGACGTGTCGTTCACGTCACCAAATTTATACTTGTATACTAATACCACGCACTTTTTTTCTTTTCTTTTTTCAATTCCTACTATTAGTTCACACTCTCCCAATATTTATTTATAGATCTTGTTCACATTTTCAATCGGTAATAAAACACTTTATATCCATCCACTCAAATTCAAATACATTTTTTTAAACTTGCAGTTTATGACACTTGATGTTTATTACAGTTTCTTCAGATATTAATACATTAATTAAATTTAATTAATTAATTTTAGTTTTATATGGCAGTAAAAAAACTTAATTATTTAATAAAAAGTAACTAAAACAAAAATTTTCTTAACTAAAATGAAAATTGACTTTTAATTTTTTTTTTATATACACCGAGGAGCCATTACATTACGATCACCCAGCTAATAACAAGTAGGACCATCTTTAGCCCTCAAAACTGCTAGCACCCGCCGTGGCATTGATTCCACAAGGTGCTGATAGGTAGTCTGAGGTATCTGGTACCAAGCGCTCACCAACTGGTCCTGCAATTCCCGCTCATTGCGAGGGGATAGCGTGGCAGCACGAATTTGGTTTTCCAAGTAGGACCACAAATGCTCTATTGGCTTAAGGTCAGGTGAATTTGGGGGCCAAGCCATGACTTGAAAGTCACTGGAGTGTTCCTCGAACCAATCCATGACGATTCGACCCTTATGACATGGTGCATTATCCTGTTGGTAAACACCATCTCTAGCAGGAAAAACTGTTGCCATGAATGGGTGAACCTGGTCTGCAACTATGTTCAAGTAGCTTACAGACGTCAGGGATTGTTCTATGAGGATTATGGGTCCTAACGTGCCCCATGGAAACATTGTTCCTGGGCGAGAAACCATGAAAACCTGGGCGAGCCCATTGTTATAGATGGAGGGTGGTCATAATGTAATGGCTCCTCGGTGTATATTACTTGTTTCGTATAGTAACTTTTCTTTCCGATTAAAGCAAATAGAAAATAATAGTTTCATTGAAATACTTTTTAATTTGCAATTTGGGTTTAACTTCATTGAACATAATTCAATCAAAATACTTTACATTAATAACAAATTAAATACGAAAACAGAAATTTTATTTTCTTATGATATTAAACTACTCAAAAGTTTTCTCATAATCCTTCAATAAAAGCGAGCTTAAAATTCTCTTGTCATACCTGAAAATTTCTAATTACAACTTACCTAAAAATATGGGCTTGTTTACCATCAAATTAGGAGGTTTCTTCATGGCTTCAACTTCTACAATTTCTGTATCAAGAGAAGAGTTTGACTGGTCTCTGGAAACAGCCTGAAAAATTCAAAAAATTTAAAATGTTTTGTTATTTGCTTTGAACATGCATCAAATTCAAGGAAACTGAGAATCTGGTCTTCACCAAATTCGGAAACTGTGAATGGTTTGGTGAAGGGTCTTCACCAAACTGCACAATAAAAAAAATTCCGGATCGAATTCCAGTATAAAGTACCGGCACTTTGAAAGCATAATCCATAAAATCCATTATAAAGTAAAATCCCATTTTTATCGTAAAATCCGTTTTGACCATGAAATATTTTACTGCAATTTTTACAGTAATATTTATTTATTTATTTGCGGTAATTATTAGAATAAAAATTACAGTATACCAAATATTTTGTTCTGTAACATATTCCGGTACCAAATATTTTGTTCTGTAACATATTCCGTACATTTCACGTTAAAAAGTACCGGCACCCTGAGTGCCAGTACTTTTTAGTGTAATTTGATGCAGAAATTTCTACAGAGAGCAGAAATGAAATTTATAGGTGTGTGTGCGAATATTGATGAAAATGTTTTTATTATTTGAGGAATCGTGTTTGCCGTTGTCGGGTATCTCCAAAAAAAAAAAATAAGTGTTATATTTTTAACTATCAGTAATATTCTGTTTTATATTATTTCTGACGAATTGCTGGTGAGGAAAGGGGAGTGAAACATATCAAACCAGTTTTATTGTCCGATCTAACTTAAATGTGGTTTTTATTATTACCAGGGGTCTGTCAAGACATTTTGTGGAAGGTTATTGTAAAATTGTGAAAAAATTACTCGCAATTTGTGAATATAAAATAAACGTTAAGTCACATTCTTTCAACCAGGGTCTTGCTTTTGTGAATTTGTGCAAATAGGGTCCTGTTATTGCAAAAAAACTTTTTCAAGGAGTTTTTAAATTGTAAAGACATACAAGATTATGATCAACACTGTAAAATTATAATTAAAGAAATTAAATTTTAAAAAAATAAACAGCAATTGCTGCTACTAAATTAGAGATGCAACATACAAATATTTGGTATTTAGCCTATACTGCTGAAACCAGAATATTCATTTCGGACGAATAAAGGAAGAAGTGTCTGACAAAGACAAAACTTCGTTTACATTTGTCTTTCTTTACCCCGCCCTTCCCAGGAAGGGTTTATTCGATTAACAAAACAATAATGAAGATAAATTTGTGAAGGGTCCGATTAAAAGATAAATTATTTTGTGAAGGGTCCGTTTTTAAGTTAAAATATTTTGTGAAGGGTTCTTTTTTATGAAAAGATATTTTGTGAAGGGTCCGTTAACGGACCCAAATTTCTTCTAAACAGACCCCTGNATATATATATATATATATATATATATATATATATATATATATATATATATATATATATATATATATATATATATATATATATATATATATATATATATATATATATATATATATATATATATATATATATATATATAAATAGATAGATAGATATATGTATAGATATAGTCAAATATACAGATTTTCCATGATGTTATAACTAAATTTAATAGCAAAATTGATATATTGCTACTCATTTTCAAATTTATCATTAATGTTTATAAATATTCTGAACACAGTGACACATAAATAACTCAAAAACATACATAAATAAACTTATCAGTTGTATTACAACGCAGAGGTTCTCAGTCTTCTTTAGTTATAGAGTACCTTTGAAGTTAAAAATTAGACACGAAACATTAAATTTCATGTCGTTAAATACTGAGTTTAATAAATTGAATAACAAAATAGCATTATGTTCTAGGTTTTTTCGCTTCTTGAGCTTGTGGACATTATATTTCACCATTTTCAAAAAATTATTTTTGAACGAAAATTTCCCATTGCAACAACAAAACATACATAAAAAAAAGATGAAAATAAATTAAGGTAAGTATTGAAGATCTATAATTTCTTATTTTATTTTTTAAGTAAAAAATACCGGCAGTCAAGTTGACTAGACTTTTTACCATAAAATCCATTTTTACCTGCAGGAAAAAAATCTGACACATACCGTTATGTAAATGTGTCGTAGCGTAATGTAAATATGATACACCATAACGATTTCAAGGTAAAATAAATTTTACGGCTGTTGCACCCAAAGTGCCGGTACTTTAAGCCGTTATTTGATCCGGAATATTTTACAGTGTATGGACAGTGGTCCTAATTTGTTTTGACAATTACCGGATGCGAAACTGACACATTAAAAGCTGGCCGTCTACTTACACAGTCAGTGTTACGCCGAAACGGTGATACACAATTGATACATGATTTTTTATTACACATCAGGGGTGAAAAAAAAATAATTCTTATTTTTACACAAAAAATTATTTTTAATTGAAAAATGTAATTTCAAATAACCCTTCCTATTCTGAATGTACTTGGAAATGTACGATGTACTAAGTGCTATGTGGAGCACAGTTTGAGAAAATCTGTTGTGTACGAGTTAAGTACTTAGCTAAATTGAAAATATTCTGCTAATATTTCTTGCTTTCATGTTGTAATTTTAATTATTTAAAAAGAGATTGTGCAGGAAATCGAAAAGCTAGGTAAGTTTATAATATGTATCAAAATTAAAGTTTTGTACATGATAGTATGCTTTTAATACTATAAATATTATTACATACTACTGAAACATTTCATAAAAATGCTTTTTTATATTATTTGCGTAAACCATGAAAGAGTGAGGGGAAAAAAATCGAAAATAAAAAGAAATAAATCGATACGAACCAATTGTGTTTCAGATTTCGTCTTGACCGACATCAGAGTAGGAAGTTCATCTGGAAGGTGAGAGTGACTATGACCGTGTCCTTTGTTTTCCTGTAAACAAGGTTATTTTCTCATATTTCAGTATTTCATTGAAAGGTAGAAATACAATTTAGATCAATGAAATATGATAGCCATAAATATTTTTTTAATCGGTTATAATGGTGATCGCGATAAATATCATTTGTCGATTTAGTATCAAAATAGAATATATTTGTATATATTATAAGCAATAAATATTAAAGTTAGGGCAATAATAAAAACTTTAAATGTTTATTTTTTCTATATACTTTGCTGTACAGTACTTCCATTTGTTTACATTTCTTGATTTAAATTCCAACATTTGTTTATTTTATTTTATAAGCGGCATTGAACAGTTGACCGAATTCTGAGAACATTAGCATGTTGGGAAAAAGAATTTAAAACATTTCGGAGAGAAAATTATACAGAGAAAAAATTACGAACGATAGATATAGAGTCGTGTAGGCTCAGGGGATAGAGCGTCCGTCTGTCAATGAGATGCCGTAGGTTCGGATCCCAACGGTTCGCAGGAATTCTGCGGCCGACTCGCCCTGATCACAGTAATGACATGCAATATCTTCAATGATAGACGGAGTCCCCTTGCTGCCAGTCTAACCGTGAGAGGTTTTCGTGGATTTCGTCTCCATGCAACGAAATGCGGGTTGGTTCCATCAAAAAGTCCCCCATGAAGGAAAATTTTTCCCAATACTTGATCCGGGAGTTGCCTTGTATTCTGGATTGGGTTCAAAATTACAGGGCTCTGGGTTCAACATATAGTCGTAAACCCAAGAATTGGGTCGGCTGCTCAACGACGGTTATAAAAATAAAATTAAAATTGATCTACGAAAATGGTCAACGAAATTTAAAACAAATGTACAAAGTATTTTTTCCAGTTGCAAATATTCGGTATATGACAGTATATTTAAACTCCAAAAAAGTATAATCTATAATCAAGTTCGTTTCACACAATTTGGAGTTCACACAGTTCAGAGTTTCTAGCGTGATAAAAATGACAAGAAGTCCTCCACGAACGCTAATTTGTCCCAATGCATGATCGAGGAGCTCCCTCCCTTGTCTTCTGGATTGGGTTTAAAATTACAAGGCTGCGGAGTTGATCATTAGAAGTCGTAAATCCAAACAAATTGCGTCGGCTGTTAAACGACGGTTATAAAATAATATAAAATATCATCTTTGAGATAAACTTGGCATAAAAATGGTCTTAAATTGGAAAAAAATGTTTTATGAAAATCAATCTTCTGGTCTGCGTTCATAATTACAAGGCTATGGAGCTGAACAATAACAGTCGTAAACTCAGAGTTGAGTCGGCTGTTCAACGCTTGCTGCGAAATGAAATGAAACGATAGATATACAAATTTATATTCAAAATTCATATTCAACCTCAAATATTCAACATAAAATAACTAAACAATTTTACGACACCTTGACTTTGTGGAAAACTCTTTGACGGTAATCGTGACAATTTTGACAATAATCCTTAACACAAATATCAAGGATGCTTTTATAATGTCTTTTGTTTATTTCAACAATTTTACTAGTGCATATATCAACACATCACGACAAATAAACAGTTTATTGACAATGAAATTTTTCAATTAAGATGCTTTTGCTGAGGCAACTTCATGCCTATTCTCATACAATCGTCGGTCACGATTTCTTCAAGGTACTGAGTAACAGTGACAGAGAAATAAGCAGATACTGACTTCTTAACAACCAATGATCGTGACAAAAATATGCGTGAGAAAGGGCAAAAGTTATTGGTTATTTATGCATTAATGGAGACTCCATACGCAAGGTCAAGTAAATTGAAAAATTCAGAATATTTTTTAAAAAAAGAATTGTCTTTGTTTTTATAAAAATGAAGGTTTTGTTGCAAAAAATTGAATAGCTCTATTTCTGAATGATGAGAGTTATAGTCTTCTGAGACTCAAGATTAAGTGGATGAGAAATCACCTATTTAACTCATTCGCTTGAATCGCATATCTTTTTTAAAGATTATATACAGAGAAATAAAGTAAGGTCACAACAGCCAGAATATTGTTAAATTTACCGCGTTTCTGGCTCCATGGGAATGCAAAACATCTAGGTAATTTTTACCGAGTCGCTTTGGTAATTATTTTAGTAAAACTAGCAATAAAATAAGGCTTTATAGTGTGTGATAAAATTTCATAAATGAGGTAAAATTAGGTAATTTTAGAGCATGGCATAAAAACATTTTATTCGGTTAAATTTATTTTACAGTTCTGTAGCTTTTACAAAATAGGTGGTAATAAATTTGGAAACCACAATTTCCGGTTAACTATTAACATATGAACGGAAAAATTCACATATGAATGCTTTAAATACAGTAGATTTTGGTTTCAGAAATGTCACTACCATAGAGTACGGTAATTTTGCCAGGTTATTAGAAGTTAGGTTATTAGATTAAAATAAAAAATTTTCTTCCAATGTTAATTAAAAAAATTTAATAATAATTTATTTTCAATAAAGAATTAAAAGATTAATAAATTTTGATTTTTTACAGTATTGTCAAATATTCTTACAAAACGTCTCCATGAATTTTAACCATGCAATAAGTACGATACGATTCGTAATATCAAAAACCATATTCTTTGATATCCAAGTCTCAGTTTAACGTATTTTATTTAGAAATACAGTTAACTGTTACACATAAATTATTTGAAGAAAAAAAAATATTTTCTAAAAATGTTAGTTTAAAACATTTATAATTCTTTTTAATAATTCATTTAAACATTGGCCAATTTTATTTGGTTAAGGCGTTGTAAAATAGCCTTACTACAAACTTCCATATTCCTTGAACTACAACACAAAAAATGAAAATTATTAAATTCTTTGAAAATTATTATTATTCAATACACAAATTTTCAAAAATAATTTGTTTTTATCTTAAAAATTTTAAAATTTTGATGAATTTGCATTTTTTTTTAAAAAGAAAAACTTTAAATTTTCAAGTCTTTGGCGAAAAATAAATATGGTGCAATAAAATTCTAAAAAAATTCACGACTAATATAATATAACGTAACGTAACATAACATAACAATTTTTGGGGATAGTGCTTTTCAATTATCGAAATCCTTTTTATTCTTTTCATCTTAATATGTATTGAGCATATGTAGCAAACTGTTGAAATTTTTTGTGATTTCTAACTCACAACTGTGATCATAAAAATTAGAGCAATATGTACCAACTGAAATTACCAGTTCTTATATTTAAACGATTTTAATACAATTTTAATAAATCATTGAAGGAAAATATTGTCTTTTAAAAAATTGGTCTTTTTCTTATTTAACTTGATTCAAAACATCTTCACAGAAGAATTCTGACAATCAATTTAATTTTTTTTCCAATTTATTTTTATTTTTGTAATAGATATTTGATTTAGTTTGACTAGTTTTACAATCGATTTATTTAAATTTTTTTTTCGATTTAAATTAGTCCGTGTAGAATTTTGTTTTACACTTATATTTCCATATTTAATTCGATTTAAAGCACATTTGCAATATTTCAGTTTTCAATTTACCATATCGCCATTCTATAAATATCGTCTGAACTTTATTTGGCTCCATTCGAAGCTTTCTTACAGTAGCAGAATTTCGAAAAGAGTAAACTTGGTGTTGATTTAAAAAGAAGAAAAAAAGGTGTTTGGTATCGATTTTTATGTTACGTAACCAACTTCTGCGTAACCACATTTTTGCATATTTCATTAAAAATAATAAGTTATGTGCACGTTACAGTTCGTTTTGAGCGAGACTTAATAACCCCACATCACGACTCCGAACTATTTTGTAAAAAGAAACATACAAAAAGTAAAAACATAATAGACTCTGATAGAACAAACGTCACGTGATATAATGCCTCATTTAAAAAAATCAAGAATTGGAATTGAAAGTATGTTTCTAAACAGCAAGTTATGTATTTAATTTGCATTTTTTTCACCTTAACAGGTCAAAGTTTATGGCATAAACACATTATAAAGAAATAGCTTCGGGCTGATGAATTACGGAAGTAACAGCAAAGTTCATACTGAGGGCTAATCACCATAAAAACTGAAATTAGTTAACAGCAATTCAAAGTTACAAAACAGCATATAAACCTTAAAGATAATGACACCTTTTGAAGGAAAGTCTCGAACATACGTATGAATAATCTCTAAGTCTCTTCGGACTGGGTCATGTCATATTATTCTTTGACTTATAATCTCTTACATGTAACATGTTAATACCATAACCAAGTTGCAAAATTTGGCAAGCCAGAAAATTTTCCTGGAGTGTCAAAATATTTGAAATGGGCTTGATAGTAAAGTTTAAATGAATAATTTTTGACGGTTGAAATTGAATTTCATTTTACTTCAATTTCGGAATTTCGATAAGAATTGCAATTCTTGGGTTACGTATTTGAAACCCTTTATGTTTTTAATGCTAACGGCAACAGTGACAAAGCTCTGTCACCAAGGAAAATAAAAAAGTTATAGTTTACGTGCCTTAGACTTGAAGCAATGCGATGATTTTAAACTATATATATAATCTTGCCGTGAAGAATTATTGGGGCTTTAGAACAGAAAAATAACTTAAATATTTTAAAAGTTATTAAACGTTTTTAAAAATCACTGCCTTATTCGCAGTTTTTAAAAATGTTTATGAGTCCAAGTAATGCAGCATAGGAATAAATTTTTAAATATTAAAAAAATTAGACCACAAACGCTTTTCATTTTCACAAAACTGTGGCTTTTTTCCATATTGACGTTTGGCGCCTTCTTCAAATTAAGAGTAGACAGCGCTGGCTTTAGATAGGCTAAACTTGACCTAATAGCCATGACAAACAATTGCAAACTCACAGCAGTTTAAAAAATAGCATATTATTTGCATCATTCCTATCACGACGGAGCCTTCGAAAAACAGCTATAAAATGCGAAAATTAGAGAGTTGATAAGTTCATACTGAGGGCAAAGCAACTGAAAAAACCGAAATTAGTAAACAACTATCGAAGTTTAAAAA